AATGTTTTAAAAATAAAAGAGCCAGTAGGGAAGGAAATAAACCCTATTCCCTTTTACTTTCCAAAGCCCCTTCCTCTCCAGATCCACTGCTGCTTCCTTGACTTGCTGTTCCAGGGAAAGTGAAGTAAAACCTTCCCTCTGACTCAGGATTCCAAGTATTTCCACCCCCACAGCCCTGCAGCGGGGGCAGGAGCACTGGAGTGGGCTCCTGTCACAGAGCAGAAGAGCCTCTGACAAAAGCCGCTGGGAACCCAACACTGGAGAGGCTGAGGCTCCTGGAATGAAATCTCTGGGCTCTGTCCTCTTCTCCAAGAGCAAACTCCCTGAGTCTTAAGGAGACCGCCAAAGGCTGTCCAATTTAGTCACCTTTGCCTCTCATAGGGGAATCTCAAGGGGTGTGGAGGGTAGTGAAGGTCTCTCGAGATTTCCTCCTGCCTTGGCAGTCTGGTTTGGAGCCAGTTGGGGCCCAGGACACATGTTACCTGGGTCCATCTGACCAGGTCCTACAAATACTCAAATGCAAGTCTGAACTAAAGTGAAAGAACAGGCCTTCCCTGGTGGTGCAAGGGGTTAAGATGCAAACTCTGAAGATATCCGCAGCCACTGCAGGAAGAGTTCGATCCCGGGCCAGCCAGGGAGCTACCCACGTGGTGCAGCAGACCTCTCCTGTCTCGCCCGCTGTTCCCCTCAGCAGTGTATTTCAGTCAATCTTCCTGTTCTGCTCCCCACTCTGTCTCTGGTGAATGCTCTCACTCCCCACACCTCTGGCCTAGACCCCAGTTCTGGTATGCATAAATAAATAAATCTTTTTTTTAAAAAGTGAAAGAACACTGCTGGCCAAGTTCTCACCTGTGTAATGAAAACTAGGGAAATGGAGGAGGGGGCAGAACCCTGTGGTCTCAGCCTGTCTGAGCAGGAGCTGGGAAGGAGTGGAGAAGGCTTGGTGGCTGCAAAGCACAGTGGTCAAGGACAAGTGCTCTGGAGAGTCACAAAGATTGGAATTCTAACCCCTCACTCTACCACTCACATCAGTGACCACATGCAAATTCCCTACCTCTCTGAGCCTCAGTTATCACCTGGAGTAAATGGGTACGATGGTTTCACCTCATTGGTTTATGGTAAGGACTAAATGAGTCATGTCTGTAGAATGCCCGGTCCACTCCCATTAATTGGGAGCTGTTGTTACTGAGGAGTTCATAAACCTCAGTTTCCTTATCTCTAAAACAGGGATCACAGTGGCATCTACCTAAGACAGGGGATAAAATGCTATAATAAAAAGTGTGCTTGACATTAATACTATTAATGTAACAGGGTGGTCCCAGGAAAGGGGGAGGTTCCCTGCCCCACCCAAGGGAGGGTGGAGCTGAGCAGGAAGAGGAGAAGCTGCAGAGGAGACGGAGGAAGGAAGGAAGCAGGATGGAGCCAGAAGGAGACCTGGAGGAGGCGCATGGAGCCTAGAGACACGTGAAGAAACTGCGCTTGTCTTTTGGTCGTGGACTGGGTGACACAGATGTGGGTGAGACCTGTGGCGAGGTGACAATGGCAGCTTTTATCTTGATGTTGATTTTGCTCTTTTCCTTCCGGGCTTGTCCAGTTGTTTGTGACCCTTTTCTGTGGGTCCCCACTGGAAGATGCTTTAGACTTGTAGCAGGCTTTGGGGCCTTGTTCTGGGCCAATCCCATTTGGATGGACTTTTACCCATGAGGGGACGGGTAACTCTGGATGCTTCATTTAGAAACTAGACTAGAAACTAGACTCTTTGCCTTACCTGTATTGTTTCCTAGTTTTATTAAAGTTCCTTCCCATTAAAGTCTCCTATGTTTTGTGTTGATGCGGCGGATGGCAGAACCCATTTAGAATAGGCTGGTTTGCGGGGTTTGGGCTGCCCCTCTCCCTGTCCTATAACATTAACACCTCCCTTATTTTACTTGAGGCCACAACCTCCTCCTCCTGCTTCCTTCCTTACCCCTAGTCCAGTTGGCAGGATATGATTCTTCTCTGGTCTTCTTGGATAGAAGAAATGCAGAAAGAAAAATAATCCCTGGAAAAGAGCACATGTGCAGCAGAGCAGGAGTCCAGGGTTCCCTCCCCCACCCCAGACCTGCCTCAGTTTCCCTCCCACCACACTCAAACCCAATGATTTCCTGCTAGTGACTCTCCCTTTCCGAGCAATGCTCTTGCCCAAGGGCTCATTTTAGAGACTTCTATAATCTCAAGGGGATCAGTATTAATCTTCCCCACCTACAAGATGAGTGGCAGTTCGAAGCCAAGTGCTTCCCAGGCAGGGAAAGAAATGGAAGTTTCCTTTTTTCCCTCCGTGCCTCTCTTCGCACCCTCCCTTTTTGCGGGGGAGCTGAATGTGCTCACTCTGGAGGGACTGAGGGAAGCCGGGCTGGCTCTAATGCAATTTTGCCTAGATGAAGCTGGCAGCTGGGAACCACTTTCCCTCTGCTTGCCCTCTGCGGGGAAACTCCATGACGGAGACAAGGCAGCTGGCAGGGGGAAGCCTCAGATTTGAGGATGCAGCACTGCTGCAGTGCCAGGCGGGGCGCCGAGGACCCTGACACCATGGAGAACTGAGAACCGTGCCTCTGCCTTTCCTTCCTGGGACCTCCTAGAAAGGCAATACCGTGGAACCTGCAAGGAAGGATGTCTTTATCAGTAATAAAATAGCAAATACGAAGGAACACAGGACCCAGCAGAAATTAGGGGGCTGGGCACCCGAAGACTGGAGTGCCAGTCCTGATGCCACCAGTGCATGGTCGTATGATTTTTTTTTTTTGTCATGCCCCTTAAGATCTTTGTCCAAATTTGAGTTTTCCCACTTATGAGTGTTCTAGTACCTTCCCCATAGGACGAGTTGAAAAAATATCTAGAAAAATGGAACATGAGATATGGTTAACAAATATTCATTTATTCCACAAAGGGACTGAGGAGAGAGGAAATCACTGGATTCTGCAGGCTTTACGGTTTATCAGTTTATTCTACAGAATTAAGCACCGGGCATCATGCCATTTGTTTGCTGCCTGCTTTCAGTGAAGATGTGTGTTTATCACTCACCATGAGATCCTGAGAGAGGCTTCCTAAATATTCTGGGCCTGAGATCTGGTTTCCCTGGGCAGCTGAGGATTGACAACTCCTCGGGCAGAAGGAACCTGTTCCTCAGTGATCCAATCAGCATCTCCCTTAAGCCCTTAGCTGCCCTCCATGAACCACTCCGTCTTTTGTGCCACTGCAACACGTCCCCATTCTGGGGGAGGCCAGAATGACACAGCTACATGTCACCCTGTGATCTACAGCAGGGGGAAGGAGCTATGTCCCTGCTGGAATTGAAAAACATCCTTGAGGGCTGCAACTTTTACAGGGAAGGTTACCATGCCAACAACAGCCTCCTTGCCCAACAAGGATGAAAGGAAACAAGACCGTGGGTGACACGCATCTATTGTGTGTGTCCACAAATGCCTGGAACCTCTGAGGGGCTGGAAACAGCAGCTCAGCAGGCTGGGGTTGCAACTGAGAGGCAGGAAAATTCAGGTTAGATTAAAGAGGGACTCCAGGACAGGCAGCACTGATGAAGGCAAGGCAGGGCCAACAGGGGAGGATTGGGAAATGTTTTTCAGAGATTGATACCCATCTCTTGTTGAAATGTGTGGGTGTGGTACTGACAGCAGGCGTGGGAGGGGATGGTGTCCTAGATACCAGGTTCTGGCTGTGATGGGAACTTCAACTTCCTCCAGGTTCTTTTGTCCTTGGTAGACAGTCCCGGAGGTCACCATCCTCTGGGGTAGGTAGAGGAGAGCAGCAGGCAGGGAGGGCAGGTCACTGGGGTGGTGGCTGGACTTAAAAAGAGGGGGCATCAGGGCCCTAACATGCCTCTGGTAAAGGTGACAAATCTTGGCAACCAGGCCTTAGAGAGACCAAAGGAGAGATAATTTTCCTCAAGGGAAGCAGGGCTTTCAGGAAGAATGGCCAAGTTCTTAAGCCCTTCAGATCTTTCTCCCCAAGTGGGAACTACAGAGAACATCAATTACGCAGCTACTCTCTCTCTCTCTCTCTCTCTCTCTCACACACACACACACACACCCATTTGATGATCACAACACCCTACACATCAGGACTTATTACTCCGATGAGGAGACAGAGGTTCAGAGAAGGTATGTACCTTTTCCATTATCAATCAGCTGGTAAGGGAAGATGCTGGGCTCAGAACTCGTTCATTCTAAACCCCAAAACCTAGAAGGAAGAGCTCTAGGCCTTAAGGCTGCTTTCTTTTCTTCTGGAAAGATCTCTTCCCAGGCCCTCAGCTCAGTCACAGCCCTTCATTCAGGCTGCAGGAGCAGAGCCGGCCGGGAGGCGGCTAAACGCACCCGGACAGCAGGTGACGCCGCCATCCCCTCCCCCTCCAAACTGTTGGGGTGCCGGGGCGCCGCTGCGCGCCAGGCCCGCCGCGGGGGGTGCTCAGCAGCGTCCCCTCAGCGCTCCCCACCGCCCTCTGAAGAGGAAACCGAGGCTCAGAGACGGAAGCGCGGCGCCCAAGGTCACAGAGCCCGCGCGCGGCGGGGCTGGGCCTCCACCCCGGCGCGGCCAGGCATGAAGCGGGCAGGAAGCCCGGCCGCCGCCCGCAGTGCCCGGGCCGGGGCCCAGCGAGGCGGCGGCCGAGGAGGGGTCGGCGGGGCCCGCGGGCGGGCGGGGACGGGGCGGCGGAAGCGTCTCCATCCCGGGAGGCCGCCCCGCCCCCGGCCCGCCCCCGCCCGCCCCTCGCCATGTATGGCGCTTCCTCCCGGGCCCTACAAGGCGCTTCCTCCCTGCCCGAGGCCCAAACAAGGCGCTTCCTTCCCGGCGCGGCTGGCAGGCGGCCCGCGGGCGGCGGTGGGCGGGAGCCCGCCCTCTGGGTCCGCCCGCGCCGGGCAGCCAGCGGCCGGGGCACCCGCTGCCAACGAGGGGGCGGCCGGCGGGCTGGGAGGTCGGGCCTGGCCTCCCCCCAACCCCAGCGGCCCGGCCCGGCCGGGGCAGGCGGACCTGGGATTCCTCCGTCTGCAGAAGGTCTGAGGTGCCCACTGCTCCCGCCCCCGATTTCGGGTTGATCCCGCTCTCCTCCCCCACCCCGGGCGCAGCACACCTTGCTGGGGAGCCTTCCTCGCGCCCAGCCGGGGCCTGAGGCCTCACCGCCCCGCCCGTTGCATTCTGCAAGTTGGTTTTCTGTATTTCTAGCTCCCTTTTTGCTGTTTCTGTCCTCCCTGCCTTTGTTTAAGCTGGCCCTTCTGCCTGAAACGCTTTCTCCACCCCCATTCTGGTAGACTCACTGCTCAGCCTTCCCTTGCTTCAGACGTCCGACCATATCCAAATCCTTGCCACCCCCACCTCATAGGCCTGTTATGTTCTTTACACGGTATTATATATTATTTATTTATGAGACTGATTTGCTCCCATGATTGCCTAGTTGTTCTATCTGAGGAGGGGGACGAGGAAAAGGAGCCTGTTTTCAGGCCAACCAGTGACTTTTCACCTTCGACGACGGCGGTCCTTTATTTTATTTATTATTAAAGAGATTTGTTTATTTATGCACGCAAGAGCTGGGGTACAGGCCAGAGGCGTGGGGGGTGAGAGGATTCACCAGAGACAGAGTGGGGAACAGAACAGGCAGACTGACCAAAGACACTGCTGAGGGGAGCAGAGGGCAAGTCAGGAGAGGTCTGCACCATGTGGATTGCTCCCTGGTGGGGGATTGAACTTGCGAACTCGTGCTGCAGAGGCTTTGGATTGCTTCATAGTACGGTGCTTAACCCCATGTGCCACCAGGGAGGCCCTATTTTTTTTTTTTAAAGATTTATTTATTTATGCATACAAGAGCTGGGGTACAGGTCAGAGATGCAAGGGATGAGAGGATTCACCAGAGACAGAGTGGGGAACAGAACAGGCAGACTGACCAAAGACACTGCTGAGGGGAGCAGCGCGCGAGACAGGAGAGGTCTGCCACACCATGTGGGTTTCTCACTGGCCAGCCGGGGATCGAACTCATGCTGCAGAGGCTGTGGATTGCTTCATAATGTGGTGCTTAACCCCCTGCGCCACCAGGGAGGCCCAGGGGCCTTTCCTTTAGATCAAGACCTTAACATCTCCATCTGCTATGTACCCTGTGGTCTGGAGGTTCATGTGCCCCAGAACTCTATGTAAATAGTTTGACTCTAGGGGAAGTTAAAGAGGCTCAGGGAGCCTGAGCTGGCAGGTGTACACCAGAAGTGGAGCTGAAGTCTGCAGCAATGCCCACTGAATGCCCCCGCCACTTAGGGTATCCTCTCTTGCTCAGCTGAGGACAGTGGTTTATCTACAACTGCAGGGAGCAGCAAAGCCCCACAAGTCCTCCCTACAGGTCTTCAGGGACTGACACCTAACCTGGCCACATGGCTACCCTGATCTATCTTTCAGGAGTTCAAAGGTCGGAGAGAGGGACCAGAGCTCAGCAGTGACTAAACCAGCAACAGTTCCCTGCTCTTCCAGACATTCAACAAGGCTTCAGCGTCCCAGCTTTGTGCTTGACCAACTTGCGAGTCCTTAACTCTTCTGCTCAGGTGAGGCAGGGGAAAACGACAATGCTCGGACTGAGCTGGCGGGGAATAAGGGCCTTCTAGCCCTAACTAATCTCTGGGCTCAACCCAGGATAAAATCACTCACGAACATCCTGTCTCTGGGGGCACGCATCATATACAAGTATGTGCTGGCACCAAATAACACTGAGATAAGAAGTTTTGTCAGTCTCCTGGGACCCAGATTGACTTGAGTGCCTGTAATTGGATGCGCAGAGAGGAGATGATGAAGGTTCAGGAGTTAGATTTTGAAAAATACTGGGTCTCCAAGTCCTGGGCTGCATACCCAGGGCCTAGGATGTCTCTTGACTTGTTTTCCCACGTAAGGCTAGAGGCCCACAGCAGCCTCTTCTTCCCACCTATGAAGTAGGATTGTGGGTAACGTAGTCCAGAGGCCTAGGTCTCTGGTGCTGGTTCCCGCCCTTTCCTTTCCTTCTCCCTGCTAGCCACCACCCCCTACTGCTTCAGGCTGAGGGCAGCTCAGGGTGAGAAGGCGGTGCTTGCTTCTTGCAGGGCTGGGAGATCCCCTGCTGGAAACCAGCAAGCTATTTATAGCTGAGCCTAGCAGAAGGGGAAGGCCTGAGAAGAGCTGGGGAGCTCCAGCAAACTCCTTTCCAACTACAGAATTTGCAGGAACTACAGACCTCTACTGGGCAGGCATTGTGTTCTCTTCTGAATGAGGGGACTTTGAGCCTCTGAGAGCCCTATAAAGTAGTAGGGATCCTGGGCTGTTCTCTGCCTTGAGAGACAGATGATTACTCCTGTGGCCCTGGGTTCTGGTCTTTGGGGCTCCATATGGTGGGAATATTTGGAATTTGGGTATTAGTAAGCTGAGATTTTGCCAAAAAAGCCAATGTGACCCCAGTAGGACAGTTACCTTGAATATTTTTTAAAGATTATTTATGCATACAAGAACTGGGGTACAGAGGTACAGGGATGAGAGGATCCACCAGAGACAGAGTGGGGAACAGAACAGACAGACTGAAATACACTGCAGAGGGGAGCAGCGGGCGAGGCAGGAGAGGTCTGCTGCACCATGTGGGTAGCTCCCTGGCCGGCTGGGACTCGAACTCATGCTGCAGAGGCTGTGGATAGCTTCATAGTGCTGTGCTTAACCCCTTGAGCCACCAGGGAGGCCCTACCTTGTATTTCTATGCATTTTTCTTCTTACTGTTTTCCTCTGCTTGCCTCCTCAATTAAATTATATTCTCTTTAAGGACAGCAACCAAAGCTTTTACTAATGGCACCAACTGCAGGCTATCACAAACTATCTTGCCAAAGAGGAAACCAACCCCTCCCTACCAAGACTGGGTGTGACTTTTGTTACCCCAGCCACCCAGTCCTCTGCCCCTGTGCCTTTCGCGTCAATCCATCAAATCTTTGCTTGACCGGGTCCACCGCTAAAATTGGGCCCCCCTTGTTGACACAGTGTCTGCCTTAGTCATGACTGTCTCCACTGCCTGGCCCAATAAACAGTTGTTGAATGAATGACTATCATCAACCTAGGAGAGCTAATCCTCTTTGTGGAGCACTTGGTTCCTGCTTCATTGTCACATTTGATCAGTTTCACAGATTGGAAGACAGCTTTAGTTGTTCAAGTGTCTTTCACCAAGATCTTGATGATGGCGTCTGACTTCCGAGTAGCTCTTAGCCCTGGCACTAGGCTGCCTTCATGTCGGCTCCTCTGGTTCCTGAACAGCTAGGTGGGTTGGATGAGGTGTACGGACATGGTTGAACCGGCTCAAACCTTTGAATCTCAAGGATTTCTCCTAAGAAGCTTAATGAGAAAGACCCACTCTAGGGTCCTCCCTGGTGGCGCAAAGGGTTAAGTCTCAGCACTATGAAGCTATTGGCAGCCACTGCAGTATAAGTTCGATCCCAGGCCAGGGAGCTAACCCAGCAGATCTCTCCTGACTCGTCTGCTGCTCCCGGGACTCAGCAGTGTATTTCAGTACATTTCAGCCTGTTCTGTTCCCCACTCTGTCTCTGGTGAATCTGCTCACCCCCTGCATCTCTGGCCTGAACCCCACTTCTTATATGCATCAATAAATAAAAATAAATCTTTTTTTAAAAAAAGAAAGACCCACTCTAGCCTGCCAGAGAGGAAGCCCCAAGCCAGCAGCTGTGGGGCCTGGAGGTGGCAGGCAGGCCCCGAGCCCCGCGCAGCAGTGTTTGGAGGCTCCTGAGATGTTACCAGGACCTCCTAGCTCTGAACCCAGAATTGTTTATTTTCAGTCCTCATCTTCCTTGAGTAACTCTCAGCAGCATTGGACTTACATGTGCTCATCTTTTCTTGGTGTTCTTTTTTTTCATGGCTTCCACACTTTGATGGGCAGTGCTCTGATTTCACCCTTTTCCCTGCCTGGCTGCTCTCTGAGCCTTTGCTCTTCCCTCCTCAGACACTCAGTGTTTCAGTGCTTCATAACTCACCCCACGAAAAAAAGACAAAAGCAAAAAGATTTACCCCAGGACCTCTTTGAAAAACAAATCTGAATTCATTACCCTTCTGCTTAAAACCCCTCAATGGCTTCACATACTCTGAATAAAATTTCAGTTTCTCAGAAGGCCTTTGAAGCGCACCCCAGTCTGATCCCATGGCCCTCTTCCTAGCTTCACCTTCCATCACATTTCTGCTCCAGTCTGCGAGCTTCATCCACAAGGCTCAGCACCTACCTCCTCAAATGTCCCCTCCCCACCTTCCACACTTTCTCAGTCTGTGGGTTGCTGTGATATTCCTCTTTGCCTGTTGACATCTGTGCTCGGTTCAAACACTGGTGTCTTTGGATAAGCTGTCTCTCGGCTCACTGGCCAGGTCAAATCGACTTGTGACCAGTGTGGCCCTCGGCTGCTCATTGCAGTAGGGATTTCACAGCAGTGGGGTGACCCACTAGCTTGGAAGTCTGTTGGAACTGCAACCGTGTCTCTTATGTCTGGGGGTCTAGCACAGTGCTAGGCTGTTACAGGCACTTATTTTATGTAACACATGAAATAAAAACTTCATTTATTTAACAAAATACCCAATTTATTTATTTTGTTTTATTCAAAACATCCATTTTACGCTTGAAGAAACTGAAAGAGAAGGTAATGAATGTGCCAAGGTCATCCAACTAGTAAATGACAGATGGGATGTAAACCCCTGGCTCCAGTGTCAATGCTGTTAATCCCATGCACTTTGCTACTGACCACTTAGTCAGTGCTTTTTTATTTTTTTTAAAGATTTATTTATTTATGCATACAAAAGCTGGGGTACAGGCCAGAGATGTGGGGGGTGAGAGGATCCACCAGAGACAGAGTGGGGAACAGAACAGGCAGACTGACTGAAATACACTGCTGAGGGGAGCAGCGGGCGAGATGGAAGAGGTCTGCTGAGCCATGTGGGTAGCTCCCTGGCCGGCCGGGTATTGAGCTTGTGTTGTAGAGGCTGCGGATAGCTTCACAGTGCAGTGCTTAACCCCTTGTGCTGCCAGGGAGGCCCTAGTCAGTGCTTATTTAAAGAAAAAGGGAAGAAGAAAGGTACTGAGGAGAGAAAGGGACTCTCCCGCTTTCCTCTCCTGGAAATGTGGAATTAGAGATTAAGAATGAAAGATGACATTTCACCAAAATAGATGAATAATGGTTTATAAGCACACAGAAGATGCGGAACTACATTAGTCATTAGGAAAGTGCAAATCAAAACCAGAATGACATCAGCAACGAACAATTCAAAAAGGAAATTAAGAAAACTTTCTGTTTATAGTAGCATCCAAAAGAATGAAATACATAGGAATAAATTTAACCAAGGGAGGACTTCAAGGATTTGTACACTGAAAATGATAAAACATTGCTGAGAGAAATTAAAGAAGCCTTAGATAGATGGAAAGATATCTCACGTGTATAGATTGGAAAACGATATAGTTAAGATGGTGTTATTGTCCCAAAGCAATATAGATTTAATGCAGTCTCTATCAAAATTCCAGTAGCCTTTTTGTAGAATTCGAGAAGCCAATCCTCAAACTCAAATGGAATTGCAAGACCTGCCTGTCCTTCATGTGGTCACATATCCAGAAGCTCTCTGGACCACCCGATTTTGAGTTTTATGGAAACCTTATTTCATAGGCTCTGGTGTTTAAATCACTGATTGGTGATCTGTCCAACCCCCAGCCCTCTCCCCTCCCCAGGGAGCAGGGGGTAGGGGAGAATGAAACCTCCAACTCTGTAATCAAGTCTTTCTGGCAACCAGCCCCGACCCTGAAGGCACTGGGTGACCCAGTCTCTAGTCATCTCAAGACCTAGCACTCTGGACATTCCAAAGGCTTATGAACTGTGTGCCAGGAGCCAGGGACAAGATTAAATATGTCTTACTTTATCACATGCAACAATATGGACGTTTCAGAAAAATTCATATAAGTGAAAGAAATGACGTAAAAGCAACATAGTGTAATATTCTAGTAACATGAAATTTCTAGGAAAGGGAAATAGGGAGGCAAAAAGCAGATCAGTGGCTATCTAGGATGGGAAGGAGGAGCAGGGATTGACTGCAAAGGGGTCCAAAAGGACTTTTGGGGCCTCCCTGGTGGCGCAGCGGTTGAGCGCTGGGTTGCGAAGGTGCCCCCAGCCTCTGCGGCGCCGGTTCGATCCCCAGCAGACCTCTCCTGCCGCCCACTGCTCCCCTCAGCAGTGTACTTCAGCACTTCTGCCTGCTCTGCTCCCCGCTCTGGCTCTGGTGAATTCTCTCACCCTCCCGCGCTTCTGACTGTACCCATTGCTTGTATAAATAAATAAATAAATCTTTTTAAAAAAAGGACTTTTGAGTTGATGGACACTGGATTGTGATGTTTGCACAAGAATATCAACCTTCCTTTTTTATTTTTTCAAAAAAAAAAAAAAGCCAACCCAAGATATATATACAGTGGCATTATAACATATATTCTTATATCATACCCCAATAAAACCTAACAACAAAAATGAGAGCAGGGTGAAACAAAATCGGTGTCCTGCAATCTGAG